AACTGGGCTAATTGTTTTTCTAAATATTAATCTTTGATTCTTACAGGTATTGACATTCCTATTAAATTTATGAAAAAAGTGAGGCTCAAATTAAGTGATTTGCCAAATGTTTTATAGTCCACCAGGTTGCCATAATAAAATACCATAATTGGGTGGCTTAAGCAAGGAATTTATTTCTAATACTCACGGTTCAGATAGAGCTGGGGCCCACTCTGGGACTTTGGGCAAAGGGCTTTCCACTCTGTGGAATGGGGCTCTAACAGAGCTGCTCACAGCGTCGAGGTGCTGGGAGGGTAAATGGGAGGATGCAAGTGGAAAGACAAGCACAGAGGAAGCCTACAACAGTGAGCCGTGACAGCCGGACTCTCTCCACTGACACATCCCAGCGCCTAGGACAGTGCCGGCACTTAGTACGCGCTTAGTAAACATTACAGAAAGGACTTTTAAATCGTCATTATTAGTGACCAGAACACCTGGTTGTCAGCGCTAGCTCTGCTTATCACCACGATGGTACCCTGGGCAAGTTCTGAACTGGGTGAGCCTGCTCCCTGCCTGTGAAATGAGGAGAATAGCGACCCCGACTGTCAGGGTTGATGTGAGCATCACATGAGACAGCCACGGGAGGTCTTTTCCAGCAGAGCCTCACAAATGCTGGGCATCAAGCACGGAAGAAAACCCAGGGCTTCCTAGCCCCGTGGTCGGCAAACTGCGGCTCGCGAGCCACATGCGGCTCTTTGACCCCTTGAGTGTGGCTCTTCCACAAAATACCGACTTCTGCGCACGGGCCATGAAGTTTCAATCTCACTGTATGTGCGCGCCCGCACGTGGTATTTTGTGGAAGAGCCACACTCAAGGGGCCAAAGAGCCGCATGTGGCTCGCGAGCTGCAGTTTGCCGAGCCACAGTTTGCTGACCACTGTCCTAGCCTCTCAGTGCTGGATTTTCATAGAGTGGGCAAGGTGATATTCGGCAAATGAACACTGTGCTGGGGGAGAAAGGAAGTTGGAGGGCTCACCCCTATCATAGGAGCCGGGAGAACTGGCCTCCGCTGTTCAGGCTCACATGCATCTGTGCAGAAGCGGTGGTGGGCAGGGCGCTGGTGAACAGTGGAGGGGTGCTATCTGTGACCCTCCCTGTTGAGGTGCATTACGATTATACGAAGAAGGTGGAAGGGCGGGAACCACGCGGGGCTAGGGCAGCACCCGCCGATGTAGAAGCTGGCATTGCTGTGTGTCTGAGAGGGCCTCAGTGGGGAGGACCAGCAGCTGGACTCTGGGAGGGAGCCTTCTCCTGTGGGAGGGATGCAAGGTCCTCATGGACAAGGCCCATCCTGGGGAATTCTTGTAAAGCCCCAGGGACTTTGTGCGTTGCAGAACGTGGGCCAGCAGTCTGCCCATATCTACTTCTGAGAAGATCACAGCAGGTCCAGGGCACAGATGCCAGGAACCCAGGACGGGAGACTGAGGCCTGGACGTTCAGAAACCGACCATCCCCCAGAAGGAAAATGAGACTTGGCTGAATGAGTCCCTGGGAAGCTGGTCCATGTCCATCCAGGCCCCAGGCAGGGGTATTTTTGACTCGAAGCAGGGAGAGCTGTATGGGAGAAGCTGCCCTCACTGGTAGCTTTCCTGGAAACATGCCTGCTACCCATCTGCCTGAGCTCCACCCACACGTCCTTCTTCTCACCAGTCCCAAAGGAGTGAAACACCAACAGGCAGACTCTGAGTCCCTATGGCTGGAAGGGACCCTGAGGATGGTCACTGCGTTTACTGCCTGTTCCCGCCTACAGGGACCCAGCACAGGCAGGACGTTGGCTGAGCACCTCACAATAGGTCTTGGGCCCCTTAAGCTATAGCCCTCCCTTCTCCTCGTGCCCAGTGGTGCTGTCTACACTGAGTGTCCACCTCCTTGACCTCTGCCTGAGAGTGTTCTTACCACTCTCCTGAGCGTGTTGTCACCAGTCACCAATAAACTCTGTGTGGCCAAACCCATTAGCTACTTTCTAGGTCTTAAAATGCTTGATGTGTCACTTGCCTTTAACATAGTTGACCCTCCCTGATCTCCAGCTTCTGGCACTCTTTCTCCTGGTTTTCTTCTCACCTCTCAGACTGCTCCTCCTCCAGCTCCTCTAGTTCTGGCTTGCATGGGCTCTCCTGGTTTTAGTGCCAGAAGTCCCACAGCTGGGAGCCCCTCAGTTCAGGGCAAATGGGGATCATTGCCAACCCTAGACTCACCCCACCTAGTTGGGCTGCTCCATGTCTCACTCTTAACTTCTGCTGTCTTCTCAGAATCCATGCTCTCCCAGGGGCTGCTCACTCGTTTCCATGGCTGCAACCACTGTCTGGGTGGGGATGATCCCCATCTGAGATCCAGAGTCGTGAGCTAACTGCCCAATGAGCATCTCTGTTCAGATGTCCCCTGGCAACTCAAACTCACCAAGCCTACATCTGACCTGCCATTTGGTCTCTATTGCAAGGAAGAGCTCCATTATCAACCCAAGAGTTATAAATATCTATAATATAACCCATTTTCTAAACATCTCTTGCCTCTTAACCCCATCCAATTAATGACCTCATCTTGTCATTGTCCCTTGACTCTCTTCAGGTGTTCCTATCCCACTGTGACTCCCATAGTGCAGGTTACCCACCACCTCTTGTCCTCATCAGGACAAAGTCTAGAGGGAATGTCAACAATGGTCATTCCTGGGATGATGAGTATTATGGGTTGATTTGTGTCCCTCCAAAATTTGTTGAAGTCCTAACCCTACTATCTATGAATGTGGCCTTTGGAAATAGAAAGTTGGCAGAATTATGATGAAGTCATTAGGGTGGTCCTAATGAAGAAGACAATGCCATGTGAAGACAAAGACACAGGAACAACATGTAAAAACAGAGCAGAGATAAGAAGAGTGATGTAGCTGCAAGTCAAGGAGTACCAAGGAACACCAAGGACTGCCAGCCATCACCGGAAGCCAGGAAGAGGCAAGGAGACATTCTACCCAGTGTCTCGGAGGGAGCACAGCCCTGCTGACATCTTGATTGGACTTCTGGCCTGCAGAGCTGTGAGAGTGTAAATTTCTGTTGTTTAAAGTCACCTGCCTTATGGTACTTCATTATGAAAGCCCTAGCATAGTGAGATATAGACAATTTTAATTTTCTTATTTATACTTTTCAGCATTTTAGAGGTTATTTGTATGGGATACGTAAGACTTTTATGATCAGGAAAAATATACTTATTCTTTAAAAATAATTCTCATTCATCGAGAATCCTAACCCCCCTATTGGATTTATCTCTGAGAATTGAACCTATCTGCACCCACACAGCTTACTGATCACATCAACATGGCTCTATTATTCCACCGTTTTCATCAACACAACTTCACTATTCCAGGAAACACTTGCCTAGGAAGATAAAAGCTGCAAATAAAATAAGTTTATTCCAGGAACTTTTCAAAATAAACCATTTAAACAAAGATCAAGTTGTTTGACTTTTAAAGAGCAACTGTCTGCTCTCCAAGACTTTCAGAACCCTTGCCTTGCTGTATCCACCAATCCTAAACCAGTGATCCTTCCCAATCTTAACCAATTTTAGTAATCTTAATGGAAGAACCTAAAAATGGAGACATATCCCATCTCTGCCTTTGCATTTCTGAGATTTTCTAGGACTTTGTCAAGGGGGTGTACCCTTTCCCATGTGAGCAGGCATCTCAGCTCTGCCTTATCGGCTGGTTGGTTTGGTAGAGTTTTCAGGCCTTCTACACCTAATATATCTGAAATATTGAGTTTATCAAATGCCTTCTATGTGCAGAGACTGAGCTAAGTACTTAATACATACCATTTCAGGGTATCTGCTAAATGAACTATTAAAAGATAAACTGAGGCATATTAAACTTTTTGAGTTTATTTGAGCAAAAATCAATTCAAATCAGGCAGCAGATAGAAAGGAGCTCCAAGTGTATAAGATGAAAGACTTTTATAGGCAGAAGGGAGCCAGAACAAGGAAGTTATGCCAGACAAAAACGCAGGTTAGTCATTTCAAGGTTACTTTCTTTGAGGGGATGGCAAGAAGATTTGAGGGGATCAGGAAGATTATTTAGTGCTGATCAGGTGGTTTCTGGTTGACTGGTTTAAGATTCCGTTTCTGGGAGGACCAGCACTGTAATTAAGTCTCAGTTTGGTGATGTGGAGCTTAGCGTAAGTGACTTCATTTTGGAATTGTTGTCTTGATTTTGACAAACGCTAAAAGGTTAGAAAGGATCCCTGTTTTGTAGCTGGGGAGTCTCAGGCAACGTAAGTGGCATGCTTAAGGCCACACCATTAGTAACAGGGGAGCCTAGGTCCGTCTGATGGCAAAGCCTGAACTCTGAACACTCTGCCTCTACAAATTTAGTGAAACTGTAACACAAAAGGTATCTATTCCATGCCTGACTATTTTGGGGAACTAACAGTACTCTGCTTCTGACTTTCCTGATAATTGCTTCAAGTGGACAGACTCCCCTCCTAGAAGACCTCACTGGTGGGTTTCCTGAGAGGAGTCGCTATAGAGACCATTCCCATCTCACACAGAGGCAGCCTCTGGCCCCCAGGACTTCTGTTTCTCTGCACAGGCCCGAGGCTGTGAGCCACGGAAGGCAAATGGGCTTCGATGGAAAACAGGCAATTATTTCAGGCAGTCACATTTCCCACAAGGCACTGGTACAAGCTAGAAGGGAAGAAAGAGCTGGACCCTTTGTACAGCCAGCAGGAACACAAAACTCATTGTTATGTTTATGCTTCCTTTATTCAGATGGCATGTGGTACAGACTCCATGCCAACCTGCAGACCGGATTCTTTCTTCCCCCTCAGTAGCAAATGTACATATTTGCTTTCAAGTAGGCAGAATTTGCCCATGGGTGGTCTTTGATTTGGAGGAAATCAACCCCAGAGTGGTGACTCACACACAAAAAAGGTAGCTTAAGTCATTCGGTGCCAGGACGGGTATGTGTGTGCAGAATTCACTTACCCAGAAGAAGAAGTTGAAGATAAAGAGTAAATACTTCAGGTAGACAACCAGCCAGTCATCCTGCTCAGCCTTGTAATGGGCCATGGTAGCTGGGCCTGCAAAGAAGACACACGTGCTGGGCTGGGGGTGCACAGGGAACCATCTTGTCCTTCCCAGAGCCAGAGCTCCTTGGCAAGGTGCCCCTCAAAGGGCTGACTAGCCTGTCTGGTCAGGGGAGTCTGAGGCTGTGGGTGTTAGACCGGAGCAAAGAGCAGGGAAATGCAAAGGCTACTGACACATGGAGGTGAGTTGGGTAGAATTGTCAAGATTTTGGTTTTGTCCTTTTGACACAGGTCTAATCTATGAGTCTTCCTAAAGACTTTGTGCTGGCCTTGTTGTGTTCTTATTCTCTCTCCTGTCTCATCAGGTTTGCAGGACACAAGCTTACTTGTCTTACACACACACACACACACACACACACACACACACACACACACAGCCTATACCTGCTTTGCATCAGAATCCTGCACTCTGCATCATTTGAGTAGGACCTCTGCATGCATGGGTGAGGCATGAGCCCCAAATCACAGCATCTGTGCTGGAAAGGACTTTAACAATTACCCAGTCCACCCTGTCTTCCCCTGACAATTACCCAGTCCACGCCATCGTCCCCTGCACCTCGACTTTCCAAATGAGGAAGCAGGTGGGCAGGCTTAGTGTTTTGGCAGGAAGAGTACAAGGGCTCTGGAGTCTGACTCCCTGAGATCACACCTGCGTCTGCCATAAGATGTGTGACTTTGGATAAGTCCCATTCCTCGGTGTCCTCATCTGTAAATGGGAATAGTAATGATACCTACATTGCAGGGTTGTTTTGAAGATTAAGTGGATAATCTATGAGAGGAGTTTAGCATATCTGTTAGCTATTATTATTACACGTAGCAGGGATCAGAACCCAGGACTCCAGCACTAAAATTCCTTGCCCCGGAAGCATGCTTCCTCTCCTCGCCCTCATGCCCCCCGATGGGCTCTCTGGAAGCTGTGGCGGCAACCGGTGGCAGAGGCGGAGAAGATGCACTGCGCCCGGGAATCCCGTTTGCTTCTCAGGAAGTCTGAACCGCAGCCTGCGTGGTTTCCTCTTCTCCCCGGGCCCCTGCCCCCAGCACCTGCACACCCACGCTCACACCCACAGAGAAGTGCCCCCTCAGGAAACCACCTCCCTTTAGGGGACCTCTTTTATTCTAGAACCAACGGGCATGGGTTTGGCCCATTCCCATCTCTTTCCCCACCTCCATCGGGCCCTCCTTGCCACCACCCTGCTCCTGCTCCTTGGCTGGTGCTGGCTAAGCCTAGATCACGTCCTCCTGAGCCAGTGCTCGCCTCTTAGCTCAAGCTCTGGGGCTCCTGGGACAGGGAGAGCGGAAGGGAGAAACGAAAAGGTGGCTGTCTTATTTGGCCTTTCTATTTGCAGACCTTGAAGAGGTAATTTAAGACTTTTAGTCTTCTTGTTAAAAAAAGACAAAACCCATTTTTCTCTAATTTAGTCTGAGACGCAGGCTGGTGGAAAAAAACACAAAAGGAGAAAAAAGAAGCCTATAAAAAAGTTAAAAAAAAAAGGTGATAGATGGGGTCAGCCAGGCGACTGGAATGGGAGCTATTATAAGGTCCTTCTGCAGAGGCCTGGCACAGCTCCTCTGGGCCGCTGGGGCCATTAGTAAAACGACTGTGTGGGGCCCAGCCTCTCCCCTTTGCATTCTCCCCTCCATTTGCCTGCCCCTCCCCTCCAACCAGGGCCCACTGGGCTCATGCCACGGAGCATTCTCTAGACCTGCAAGCCAAGGGGTCAGGGCCCGCTCAAGGAAAATTGTATTTTTTGAAAAGGAGTTCAGACAAGATGTAACACAAAGAAACACATTTCTAGTGGTAAAACCCCAGCCATTAGTGGTAGAGAAGATAGAACCCCAGAGTGTCAGGGCGAGGGGAAACCGCGCGGCTCACTTTACTTCAGCCTCTGCCGAAGGAACGAGAAGTAAACACGTCTGAGTTAAGACATACATTTTTAAATGACCTCCCTGAAGTCACAGGCTAACGGTTGGTAGCAGTTTCCCATCCCCGTTGTTCAGCGCTCTTTCCCCACTGTGCCCCACGGTATGCGGGCCCTGTGCTGGGTGGCAGAGGCCCCACAGAAGTGTCAGTGTCAGTGCCAGCGTGGAGCCCGGTGCTTGGGTCTGAAAGCTGGCCTTGTCATTTCCCCAAGGTGTGACCTGGGCCAAGGTACTTAATCTCCCAGTGGCCGCACTCTTGGCTTTTCTTGTCATCTCAGCTCTTTGGCTGGTGCCCTTTTTCTTGGTGGGTGTGGGTAATAGTACAACCGTGGGCTTTGGGGGACCTTTAACTGTCTTCTTTTATAAACACACCATTGGATTCCAGAGAACCAAAAATCGCACCTTCCCATGGACACTGCTAAGGGGCATGTCTGCTACTCCACACCTCTTCTGTTTCTCTTTCTCTCTTTAATGCTTTTAAAAACAAATGAGTATTTTTTTTTAAATATAAATAACATTTTTAGGTGTGAAAAAAATTATCTGGAGGGCTTGTTAAAACACAGATCACTCAGCCCCAGCCTCAGGGTTTCAGATCCTAGGCTTGGGGTGGGAGCCTGGGAATTCATTCCTAGGCAGGGTCTGAACTGCCCGTCTGATTTGCCCAGGATGGAGGGATTTCTCTGAGTAAGAGACCTTCAACGTTAAGCCTGCATAATCTTGGGCACACTGGGTGGTTGGACAGCCTACTCCCAAAGGCGGCTGATGCGGGGGTCTGGGGACCACACTCTGAACCAGTGTTCTTCAAAGCCCCTTCTGCTTCTGCTTGTCCAGGACCCTGCATGTAATTAATTATCCTCTGCCTCTGAGCAGACATAACTGAGTGGGGTAAGGGTGGAGCATCACATTTAGGACAGTTCCCGATGAAATGCCAAAGATTTCCCACACAGCCTGGTAATGCAGCCTCAGGGCGCCGGCCCCTCAGGCCAAGGCTCTGACTGCTGAACAAAGCTGGGATTCAGGACAGCCAGCAGGCTGGGGGCTGGGAACAGCAGTCGGGACCCACACCATAGGCCATCTCAGAAAAGCAACTGCAGATGCCTTCATGGTGAAGTGATGGATTTGCGGGACTTTCATCAGGGCCGGACGTGTAGCGTCATGGGCTGTGGGCCTTGGGCATTATCATCTCTACGGCTCCAACCCCAAGTGAACTGAATGAGCCTCACAGTGCAGAGAGGATGAGGGACATGCAGAAAGAGCCCAGCTGGCCAGATGTGTTGGTGAGCAGAGCAGGCTGAGTCCTTTCATGGTGATGGGTGGCCCGAGTTGGGGGGTGGGTGGGGCAGGCGGGGAGTGCTTGGGAACTGACTGCATACATTGCACATGAATACAAAGCACTGTTGGCATGTGGTCCAGTCTCATCCTTTACTCATTCAACAAGCATGCACTGAGGCCCCAGCTTGTGCCAGGAGCTGTGCTTAGAAGGTTGGAATTCATCCTTAAGGAGCTCATAGCCATGTGGTAACACAGAGGAAGTGGCATTAATTCTGCCGGGTTGGGAGGGGGTGGAGGGGCAGAGAGGGGCATTTAATCTGATCCTTGAGGACAGGCAGAAAAGGAGGGAGGGATGCTCAGGCAGAGGGAACAGTGTGAGAAAAGGTCTGGAGGTATGGCTGGGCCCAGTGGCCTGGGCTGCAGAAAGACCGAAAAATCAGGGTGGGGTCCCGGGCAATCTTGTTGGCCATGTTAGTTCAGGTTGAGGGTGCCCTGACTCTCCATTCCCTAAGCGGAGACCACCCCTTACCAGGGGAGGCTCCCGGAGCTTAGTGATTCTAAAACAAAAGCAAAACCACGCCCCACCCCAGCCCCACCGCTTCAGGTAAAGAAGTGCCAGTTTCCACCTCTGGAAACCATCATTCAGCAAGAGGCCCTGCTGAATGATGGTCAAAAACAGCTGGAAAGGAAACAAGCCTAAGTGGTTTAATGTGTAACTTAATTTTCGCTTTTAATGGAACCTGGTTGCAGCCCTGCAAGGTGTGGTTCCTTCCCCATGCAGACAGCCTCGTCCTTCTTTGTCCTGATCTCCTTCTTATTTAATTTCCACTCTTCTGGCCCATTCCTGGTGGGGGATGGTCCATCTGAAACAGTCACAAAAGTGGAGCTTCCTCAGACCCTCCGAATGGGATAGTTGGAAGGAGCCAAAGGATCTCTAGCTCGGCCCCTTGGAGAACTGAGGGAGCCGAGTCCAGGGGCAGGGCCCACGGGGGAGTCTCACTGCCCATTAGTGGCAAGGCAGGGACCTGGTCTCCTGTCACTATAACCACCAACAAGATTTCGATTGGCTAATGTTTTAATAATAATAATAATGATTTATTAAGTATAACTAGAAACTGAGCTATATCCATTAATTTAATACTTAACTCTTTTAGACCAAACTTAGGGTTTGACTGCCAACTACAGCATCATGTGGATGAGACTGTAGGCAGAACTTGAATTAAAATTCTAGAACTAAGTCTTCCAGTCTTTGTGCTCTGAGATATGTTTTCCTAAGTACATGACTCTATTTTTCACTTCATTTGTGAGTGCCCACATGCATTCTCTGGATCAGTCAGGGCTCCCTCATAACCCTAGACAGGTGGTTTGGCTTCTTATTCTCTGCATTTATACATGTACAGAGTCTTGGGAGGTTCTGCCTGTAGATGGGTATCACCCTTCGCTGTTTTTCCTGGGTCCTTGTTTTTAAATTGCAATCTGACCCATGAAATGAGGATTCCCCAGTGTTATGACAAGAATCAGTGAACAAATAAAACATCACTAGGCAGCAGGTTAGAAGATCTGGTTGTGAATACCAGCTGTCACCTACAACAGTGTGACCCTGGGCAAGTCACGTGACCTCTCAGGCTCCAGCTTCCTCCTCTGTGCAAAGGAGCTGATGTTGGTCCAGCTTTGTATCCCTTATAGGGTGGTTGTGAGGATCAAATGGGATGGAGAATTTGTAAGAACCGTGTGCAAAGCAATGTTACAGCTTCAGTGTCACACAAGGGTGGAAGAATACTGTTTTCAAAGTGTACTCTCCG